AAGCATTGTACAGAAGTATTGTGAAAGTGATGAATATAAAATGGTTAAAGAATAGAAGTGATACTGTATGGAGAGACACTTTAGAGATTACTGAAACAACAAAACCAGTGTGGAGGATTCTGTACAAACCTCCCTTACCTAAGAGAGTTGGTGATCTTCAGTGGAGGATACTCCATGGGGCTATAGCAGTAAATTCTTTTGTGGCAATGTTGAACCCAAATGTAAGTGAGAATTGTCCTTTTTGCAATGAAAGGGAGACTGTGTTTCATTGTTTTATGTTTTGTAACAGACTTTCTTTTTTGTTTAGCCTTCTAGAGCTTCTTTTTGAATCTTTTGAGGTATGTTTTACAAAGCAGGATTTTATTCTTGGTTGTATGTATACTATTAAGAAAAAATACAAATGTCAATTGCTTAATTTTATTGTTGGTATTGCAAAATTAGCCATTTATATAACTAGGAGAAATAAAATTGAACAGAAAGGAGAACAAGAACTTATATCAGCTTTTAAAAAAATGGTAAAATCACGACTTGTAATCGAGTTTAATTTTTATAAACTGATGAGTACATTGAATATTTTTGAAATTGAGTGGTGCTGTGATAATGTGCTGTGTTCATTAGTTGATAATGAACTGGTTATTTCAGAAGTGTTGATGTGAGGTTTTTTTGTATTAGATTGAAAAATATGTGACCTTTTTTTGTGAATGTTTTGTATAGTCATATTTGTGTAATAAAAAGGATTGTCAAAATTCAAAAATTCTCTCTCTCTCTCTCTCTCTCTCTCTCTCTCTCTCTCTCTCTCTCTCTCTCTCTCTCTCTCTCTCTCTCTCTCTCTCTCTCTCTCTCTCTCTCTCCCCAGTCAGAGAGAGAGAGAGAGAGATCATTACTGCTGATATTACTTAGGGATGTTTAAATATTGAATATAGTTTTAAAGTATAGGCCTTATTACTGGCAAAATTACTTGTTATGGGATGTTATATTGTATGTTACGTTGTTTATTGGAGGAACACAAAAACTTTTGTAAGAGAACAAAACCATGTCCTTTTAGGGGCTCTGTAGTATATAGTTTCAATTTTTTTATATTTAAAATATTTATTATACCATCCCTCTAGGCTGTATTATCTGCAATATTACTTGCTTAGGGATGTTTAAATATTGTATGTTATTATATGCTTGTAAATAGACTTTTTATATATAAAATATTTATAATAAATACAAAATATATATAATTATATTGCACTGTTTATATTATTGCACTCAGTTGTGGTGTCTTCCTCATGCATTAAAAACTGTATGGGCATACACCTTTGGAATTTTACCATGTTTTTACCATGCTATTACTATATACTTTTACCGCTTTATATGATTCAAAAATTGAAATATTCTTTGAAATTTCAAATTTTTCAAGAACTACAGCAAAATCCAATGTGATGCAAGAAATATATTTTTTATCAATATTTATGAGAAAGACCATTTATTTTAATATATCATTAGATGATAGGGTTAGGGGTTAGGGTTAGGGTTGTACTGGTAGGGTTAACCCTAACCCTACCAGTACAAACTAATGGATTTCAATAGATTTAATTAAATTCATTTTGAAACTTATAACAGTTTAAATTTAGCAAACCTATTAACAACACCAAAACCACATCAATATTACTCTGAAATGTTTCCAAACTAAATATATATTCATTTTACCAGCAAAAACGTTTCCTTTCATATGAAAAAATGATGATGATGATGATGATGATAAATGGCTTGAACCTCCTTTTCAATGCTGCAATGGTTCATCAATAGGTGGCAGCAAAGGGAAATGTGAACCTTTTCTTTTCCAAACCCTCTTTCAAATTAAGAATGTTTGGTATACTTTTGCTCTATACTAACACATTCATTTGTTTTTGTCGTTTTATTTTAATTTTAAAATAAATGGATTTTACAGAAGTATTTTGAGACAAATCTAATAAAAGTAAAAAAAAAAAAAAAAAACATAATTCATGTGTAAAGCCAGTTTACTTTCGGGTCAAAACAGACCCGAACACAAAAGGTGTAACCCTAAACACTGAGACATATTTTAAAATATCTTATTTTATGTGTCTTCCACAGAAGAAGGAAAATCATACAGGTTTAGAACCACATGAGGGTGAGAAAACGAAGACCGAATTTTCATCCCATTAACCAGGTGCCTCCACCATATGCTACTGATGTAAACAATATCATAGTATATACAAGAGCATCCCATTAGCTATTTTCTGTCAATGGCTTTCAAAATTATTGACTTCCTACATTCTGTCTAATAAAACAATGAAAACTATGAAAAAAGTCACTTTTATAATATATGCACTTCACAAGAATACAATGACGCAACTGAAATAATAGGAACATTTTGGTCTGACCCCCAGGTTGCATTTCATACAAAGCACTCCTAAAATATTCATTATTAGATGATATGTGAACTGGCATATGCAAATCTCCTCAGGGTTTTGAAAAGTTTCCTTTAATAAACAGATGTTTATTATTTTGGGTGGTTCAATTTCCTGGTATATAGACATCTGACAGACGATTAAGACGTTACACGGTTTAATGTGTCAATGTCAGTGAGTATAGACATACAATGTGTTGCCAGTATCAAGGACCATGCGAACGTGCGTTATAACATCTTGGCTGATGAGTATGCTATTAAAAGGAAGAAATAGTTGTTTATTTCATTGAGAGATGAAATAAAAAATGTGAGTTTTGGCATATACAAATATTATAAACAAATATAGTCAATGACCATGTGTCCTGGGGAAAATATCCCAGATGTCAGAAGCAGCCTTGAGTAGGTTCTTTGAAGTGCGCAACAGGTGTTAAAAGTCTCATGCAATGATAAGGACAGACTCTATGTCACAGTGTACAAACAGTACAGCTTTGCTAACACAAGATAAAGACATGCCTGTGTACTTTCCTAGAAGAAAATGGTTAATGCTACACATCTACCTATAGACACAAGATGGTACATTTTGTACAGAGTTTTCACATTTTTGCATGTTGTATTGGCAATGAATCCAAAGATGTTTTGCTATTGTTGATTGTGTAAGTATGTGTCATACATTTATAAAACAGAGAATCATATGTGTGGTCATTACTGAAGCAGATATGATGAACAAAATATAAAATACAGCCCAGTGTACACTCTTAAGCATCTGTAAAATCTCAGATGTCTGATATATACACTACCATTCAAATACTTGGGGACAGTAAGATATTTTATGATTTCATATTAAAATGCATTATATGCATATTAAAATGATTTCTGAAAGATCATGTGACACTGACTGAAGCCTGGAGTAATGATGCTGAAGATTCAGCTTTGCATCACAGGAATAAGTTACATTTTAAAACATATTAAAACAGAAAACACTTCTTTTAAATGGTAATAATATTTCACAATTGTACTGTTTTTCTGATAAAATAAACACAGCCATAGTGAGCATAAGACTTCTTTCAAAAATCTTCCAACTTTTGAATGGTAGTGTATTGTGTAAAAGCACTATTAGACTATTCTCAAAACATCTGGATGATTGCTTTGACTAACACACACACGCACGCACACGCACACGCACACGCACACACACACACACACACACACACACACACACAAATTAAGTAAAATACCAAGAAAAGCAAAGGAATTCCTCTTTGTCTTCTAGGTGAGCCAAAAAATTAGAGAGCCAAATTGACAAACTTATTTATAAAGTCTTGTGTTTTATATAAAGCCCAACATTTATAAGTCATAGCCTTAATAAGGACGCTACAGTCTTGCTCCGTTTGATTCTGCTGTTTGTTTAACAGTGACGTACTAAATTTAAGCACTGGATTCTGTCAGCATTTCGATGCTATTGGCAGCCATTGCTTGTGCTCTCATTTATCAATAGTCCAAAGAGTCTCTTTTCAGCTAGCAGCCATTTTACTAAACATCACCAAGCTCCAGGCACGTGCACAGATAGACCCCAAGTGGTGTTCAAGCACCTGCCCTTTTGGCCTCTGACTAGGTAAGTGCCCTTTTTGCACGACATTTGTTTTTTACTTTATTTATGCCCGTCGCATTCATTCTCAATCAATTCTCAGCATGTGCCCAACAACTTATTCTTAATAGGCTCTGCAGGGAAGGCGAGCAGCATCCACATCTCCCGGACCTGCCTTCATTGGTGACAGTCTGGTAACCATCGTGTTCGGAAATGCCACCAAAATTAACATAAATGCCCCCAAAATTCAAGATATCAATTGCCCTTGTACGAATCCTTGCATTTTGTGTTTATAACATAATGTAGTTAAGCAATATCACACAAGCAGGAGGGCTATTTTCGCAAATATCAGCACGATTGCAAAATGCAATATTTAGCCGTTCGATAAACATTACGTTTATTTTTAGACACTGACATTGACAATTTTGAATGTTTTTCCTCTATTTTGCCAACAAAAAAAGTTCCAAACAAAGCAGAGAAGCTGCAACACACAGCGGTGTTTCGTTCTTGAATGATTCACCATTTATTAACACATCGGGGGAGTCAATGATTCAATGAGCCATTCATAAACTTACCGGACAGTTACTTCTTTCATGAATGAATCAGCCGGTTTGAATGAATTGGTTAAATGGACGATGGTTCACTTACTACGACTTGCTGCCATCTACTGTCGGTTTTAATTTAATATATAATAGTATCATTTCATATTTCTATATTAGAAACAATAATCTCATTACATTATTTAGGCAATTGTAATTGCAGTCAAATGGATTTCGATAATAATACTGATTTCAGTTCATTGGTATAAGGCCTATAGGGAATAGTTTTAAATAGTGTAATTTATTTAAAAGATGATCAACAATAGGAAACGTTACTTTTTATATATAATTTTAAAAGAGGTACTTTTTTTTTTTTACTAGAGCACCTTCCCCCCAAAATGTCTGTGTACAGCCCTGCCAAGGTCTGAACAATTTTGATATCATATCAAGATAAACTCTTTGTTAAACCAAAATGGCTTCCTACGCTGCAATTTTCAGGGTTTGATGAGTATCAGCTACGCTTGTGCCGAGCCACGGATACTGGTGTCAGTCTGCCTGGTAAGCGTTCCTGAGGTTTGCGTGTTACCGTCGGTCTGTCCGGTTCCTCCAAACCGCGTTCCCAGCCCTCCAGCTCCTCTGGCGCTCCGTCGGCTGCTGCTCCTGCTGACTTCATCGAAATCATCCCTACAGCAGGTGAATGTCGCCAGAATGCCCTGTCTGAAGCGTTTGTTCATAAAACAGTAGACTATAGGATTGACGCAGGCGGAGGTGTAGGACAGCAAGTGGATGAAGGATATCGGCGCTCCTGAGAGGAGACGATCGGTCGAACGTCTGTCGAAGGCTCTCCAGGCGTTGACGACGAAGATCGGCGTCCAGCAGAGGAAGAACAGCGCCACGATCACCAGCAACATGCGGATGACCCTTTTCTTGGCCATGAGGTTTGCTGTGGGGCTGTTGCTGCAAACCCTTCTCAGTTTGGATTTTGGGTTGCTGAAGATGAGCGTCACGGGTTCGGCGCGCTTCCTCTTAGACGGCTGGAGGTAGCAGCCGTCGCTGTCGCCATTTTTCAGATTGGACGCGGCGTACTCTTTCTCTAGTGAGCAAAGTGAGGATGAAACCGTGATTATTTGATTCAAGATAAAGCTGTTCTGTTTGTAATCCTAAAGCAGCTTCTCAACTATGCTTAAATAAATGAATGCAAAAGAAATGTCTGCCAATAGATCTAAAAGGAAAACATAGTAGGGCTAGTCAAGGTAAATAATTATTCAATAATTATTTCACACATTATTCATAACCGCCCATTTTACAAAATAACATTACGTTTAAAAAATAGAATAACGTTTTAGTGGGAAAATATTGTGAATTCTCATCTTTTCTCATAGACTATTTCCATACTATATAGTACGCGAAAAACAGTGCGCAAAAAGAGTATATCCGAATCCAAATTTTCCATTGTAAATTCAACTTCACTTGGTCGTTTAGGTGCTCAGAACTCTAATTTATGATAATTCTGATTCCAATTGAAGGGCACATTCTGGGTTGTCCTACAAATTGACTTCATGACTGAACAACTCAATTTAAGAGGCTTTTATATGATAATTACACATTTGAAATATTAAGGTCAGGAAGTCTATGATTTTTTTTCCCATACCTTTGTTTGACTTCCTATTAGCCATTTCAAATTTGACTCCCCTGTAGAGTTCGAGTGAGGTGAGGCCATAAGCTGTCATCATTATGATCCCAGGCACGAGAAAGAGTATCAGCAACAGGAAAACATACCTTAAAAAGAGAGGGAGAGAGAGAGAGAGAGATAAGTCAGTTGCAAAGTCAGACATGGGGTTGACAGTATTTTTTTTATCTGAAAAGTAACCTTAAAGGGATAGTTCGTGCGAGAGATCACTTCCGGCGCTTGCCGGAAAAGACCGAAGCGCCCGCGCCCTCAGATCACTTGGACCTGGCTGTGTTTACAAGAGGTAAAAACGATATAAATACTGTTCGTTTTCTCACACAAACTGCTCGTTTCGTGTCTTAGGCCATCAATGTGTACTAGCATTTACGAGTCATTAAATCATGTTTAATTTGGACTTCTCTGTGCATGCTCTTTGAGGAAGTGACCATAGACCTGCATTATATGACTGACAGACAAGAACGGTTTGACCTAAAAATATCAGAATTGAAACTACTGCGGAAACAAAGACACCTACATCTTGGATGCCCTTGAGGTAAGCTAAAACATACCAAAAATTAATTTCAAAGTTAACTATCCCTTTAAGACGGCAAATGCTGGGTAGCTTTCTATGTTTACATTTACATGATAGATTACCCTCAAATTAAAATGGTTTACTCATCCTCAAGTCATTCCAAACCTCTCCAAATTGTTTTTTTTTTTGTTTTTTTTTGTTTTTTTTGGTCAAGTAGAATCTTTGAAGAATCTTACAGCTGATTTCCATTCACTATTTCACTTCCACCTTCATTGGTTTGTAGAGTTTTTGGACCACATTCACAATTTTAGTGGAGCTTAAAGGCTGGAATACACTAGACAGCGTTTGCCCTGATTTGCAGTCTGGAGTTGTTGATGCTACTTGCTGAAAATCAGAGCCAATTTGCAGATTTTGGGGAGTTAACAGATTTCCATGAAAATCTGGTACTACATGATTGGGCACACACTCCAATTTTAGTACCTTCAGACTATGAACAGAGCCGATTTTAAAACAAGTATTGTTTTAATTTGTCATGCGTATCTTAGCAATGAGGCACATGAAGAAGAAGCAGAAACCAGCGATAGAAGCATTGCTTGTGCACATGTAAAATAAGGGGATCATCAAACATTAAACAGCATGTAAATCAAAACTGCCTAACGTTACTGCATGAAATATCGAACCCATGAAGAGGAAACGAATGTGAAGATTTGGGGGTGTTGATGGACTCGAACTACTACATCTGTGTTTTGATCATCGTTCTGAATCCCATCCGGACAAAGTCTTTGACAAAAACCTGATTTTCTCAGCTCTTTGTTCAAAATGTTGCTTTTTAAATTTTTTTACTTACCCACATTCAAGTTTTTATAATTTTTTGTTTGTTTGTTTGTCTCTGTTCTTTCTTTTGATATATATTCATACAACTAAATATTCTGGGACCATAAAATCTTTGTGAAAATTATCAAAAATGCTGGCGATGGTAAGAATTTTTTTTTTAGCTTAAAAAAAAAACCCCGCTGGCGGGGAAAGAATTAAAGTAAGCTAAATGTTTATATTAAGTATAAAAATGAATACCAATCGGAACATAGTAGCATACTTAAAGTGCAAAACTATTGGTCAACTATTAGTATGATGTTAAGTTCACTTAAAAGAAAACTTATAAGTATACTTGCAGTAACTACTAAACTAGTAGTTAACTAAGAGTATACTTAAAAGTGAACTTTCATAAACTAAAAAAAATACCTATTAACTAATAAACTACCAGTTTACCTATAAGTTCACTTGTAGTATAGTTGCAGTAGAAATTAAAACATAGTAAACTAGTTGTGTATTCAACGTTTACATTTAAAGTATACTTTTATACACTAAAAGGTGGGCCAAATTAATTCCAAGTAGTACTAGTACACTTACAAGTATACTACTTGTACATTGATATCAGTATACTTACTACATAAGTATACTTAAAAAATATACTTGATCTTTACTTAAGTATACTTAAAAGTATACTTATTTTTTTGTAAGGTTTAACATGCATGGTCACACAAAACTTATTGAATGAATAAAAGAGAAGCATGAAGTTTTTTGAAATTTCTTTTGTATTCCATAGAAAAAAGTGTCTTTACAGTTAGTGCAAATAATCATGTTAGCAACGGCAATTCTCACTAACTCCAATGCTCTGATGTTTTACCTTTAGTAGAAACATTACTGTATATTAGTTCTATTTACACTTTGTGTGAATATCTGTCCCTATTTGCATTTATACATAGTGCAAACAGTATCTACCACTATTTACACTCAGTATAAATATAATCAAGTCTTTTTTACTCTTAGTGTAAATAACTGCTGCTGAAAACATAACAGCATACAGGGTGGGAACAACATGACGATAAATTATGACAGAATTTTTTCTTTTTGGTCCCTATTCCTTTAAAGGGATAGTTCACCCGAAAAGGAAAATTAGCCCATGATTACTCACCCTCAAGTCATCCTAGGTGTATATATGACATTCTTATTCCAGACGAACACAATCAGAGTTATTAAAAAATGTCCTGGCTCTTCCAAGCTTTATAATGGCAGTGAATGGCCGTTTCTGTTTTGAAGTCCATAAAAGTGCACAGCTCTGGGGGGTTAATAAAGGCCTTCTGAAGCGAAGCGATGCGTTTGTGTAAGAAACATATTCATATTTAACATGTTACAAAGTAAAATTCTAGCTTCCAGCCAACAGCCATACGCAGTCTACTTGCGCCTAAAGCGCAACTTATGACGTCAGAAGTAGCGAAGTGCGTCATGGCGTAGCGTAAATATCAGCAGAACTCGCAGAAGTTGCGCTTACACTTAAGTAGAATCCATATGTTCGTTTGGCCGGAAGCTATATGTTACTTTATAGAGTTTAAATATGAATATTTTTCTTACACAAACGCATCACTTCACTTCAGAATGCCTTTATTAACCCCCCCGGAGCCGTGTGGGGCACTTTTATGATGGATTGATGCACTTTTATGGACTTCAAAACGGAAACGACCATTCAATGGCATTATAAAGCTTGGAAGAGCCAGGACATTTTTTAATATCACTCTGATTGTGTTCGTCTGAAAGAAGAATATCATATTCAACTAGGATGGCTTGAGGGTGAGTAAATCATGGGCTAATTTTCATTTTTGGGTCAACTATCCCTTTAACACCTTATCCTCAAAAAGAATAAGAAACACACAGTCCTAATAAATCTTACCAGGTCTGCATGACATCACTGGGCCAAACCAAGCGGCACATGTTGCCTGTGCTGTTGTTACTGCGCATGAAAGGCACCAGGGTGCTGCCTATCGGATAAGGCAGCATGAGCAGAAAAGACACGACCCAAGTGGCTGTGATGACTCTTGCAGCGTGGGACTTTGTCTGCCAGGTACGGGACTTAAAGGGGTTGCAGATGGCACTATAGCGCTCCAGAGAGATGGCCACAAGGTTAAATGTGGATACGCTCACCGAAATACCTGTATGTTTGGACACACAGAACTCAGTTGCACATACAGAAATAAATCTGGGCTTGTTAAAGTACTGATTCTCAGGAGGTCTGATATATATATATATATATATGCGTCTATAAACAACAGTAAACACAAAAATGGGAACAGACAGGAAAACTTCATAACAAATATCTCTAAGCCCTGATAACAAAGGCATGAACTGTTAATAAACTTAATGGCGTAACACTGCACCCTTTGCAAATAGTAAGAAAGCAGTTAATTAGACAGCAATGTTAACATACACGCAGTAATAACAACAGAGCATATAAATTGCGTCAGCTTTATCATGAACAAGTATTACAGAATACCACAAAACAAACACATAAAACATGCTGATGCATCAAATAAAGAGACAGTGGCATTGTCTAATTACTAAATTGTTTACATTTCCCATTTGCAACATCTGGAAGTGTGCAACCAACTGGCTATAAATAGTTTTCAGAATTGTTACACAATTCAACAAGTCATAAACATGAATTTAAAATGAATGTGCCTTCCAATAAACTATAATCTCAAGGGTGGAAAAAGAAAATACTCTTGTCGTTACAATTGAGGCTTACAATAGAATAAAAAGCGTTGTATTTCTATTAGTGCAAGCTTCACTGTGTGTGTGGTCTGCATTTAGCCCATTAATGAATAATAATACTTCTCTAAATCAATCTTTTTTACAAACCAAATGCGAGAAAAAAGCAGGTGGAACATTAAGCATTTCCTTTTGTTAAGTGACCCTTTATAGTCTGCTTCTCTCGCGTTTAATGTTATCAGATTTCCTTTTTTTTAAGGTAAAAAGATGCTTGTCAGATCAGAGAATATTAGACATTCTTATACAGAAGTGTATCATGATACTCACACTCAAAGTAATACAGTTACTATGGTAGCACTTTATTTTACAGTCTTGTTCCGCATATAATAAGTACATGTATAAGAATTACAATAACCGAGTTATAACTAGGTACTAACCCAGAACATACCCCTAAACCTAACCTTAATGAATGTAGTGACCTTATATTACCAGTATTGTAAGTACACATACTGTTAAAAAAATGTAAGTGTAACCAGTTTTGGTACCATAGCAAAACCTGTTTGAACTATGGGCTACAATATAGCCTAACAGCATGTAGCCTTCAGATATTTTTTTGGAGAAAATAAAATTAATTGTTTGATTCAAGATGAAATTAATGTATGTTAAATGATCTGCTGTCATCTGAATTACCTTATTTACAAAGAGAATAATTAGTATCATATTTTAAAAGAAAAAGAAAAAAAGAGACCAAATGTGTAGAACTCACAAGTAAAATTAAACCTGTATCACCAGGCACCACTCACAATAAAAATAATAAAAAAAAAAATCTGAAAAAAATGGTCAACTATTTGAGAAAGTTCCCATGTTCATTTTCAGTTGGACTAATTGTTGAAAATGTAAAAGTCTCCAAAAACTAAAATCTCATTTTTTATTTTATTTCAATGAACTCAAATTTTTAAGGCAACCATGTGACTTACTTTTTTAAGTTAAACCAACACTATTGTTTACGGTGTTTTTACTATCTGACAGAGGAAGCTGTGAACTACACATATCAAAATGACTCACCCATGAAGTACGTGGCCACTTTACACATGCCGCTGCCGAAGATGAAGTCCTTCATGAGGTTGGGGATGAGTGTGAAGGGCATGCAGAAGACACACAGCATCAGATCACTGACGGCCAAAGACAGCAGGAACAGATTGGTGACCGTCCGCATGCGCCGGTTCCGCACCAGAACAGTGATGATGAGGCTGTTCCCTATGAAGCTCAGGAGGAAGATCAACACATACAGCACGATCCGCACGGTCTGGTTCATATCTGACAAACAAACACGAGAGCACGAGATGAGAATACCATATTTTACAAGTTTTAACAAGCAGTTTTTGTCTTTTGAACAGGCAAGACGAAACTGGTTCGTTCACACATCTCTCGACACAAATGCCTGCACTAATGCAAAGACTAAAGGTAATAAAATTACAATATGAATATATGTAAATCTATTTAGGTCTATATAAAATATAAATGTAAATATAAAAGTTAATTTTTTTTACCTTTTGGTTCGAACGTGCTGTCACTGTCATTTTTACATTCCGACAAATTCCCGATTCCTAATCCACATAATATTTTATAAATATCAGTGGAATTGATGAGCATATCTTGAATTGTAAATGTCTCCATGTTTGTTTGTTGTTTCCCGCTTTCCTTCACAATATAGATATATATCCAAATTAATGTCTCTTCATCTCTTGGAGGTAAAAGTGCAGCAACATTTGCTCTGCCATAATGCCACAGTGCTGCACTCTATAGTAAAGCACATGGTTTTATCTTAATACACAAGTAGCCTATATATTCAAGACAAAACTGATACAGTTTTGAGATGTCAAAAGCAAGAAACAAAAAATAATAATAGGTAATAAAAAATAAAAAAGGTTAGTTAAAGTACGTCCAGGACTGTATTTCGTTAAGTGCTGCAGCTCATGAGTTGTGATGTGAAGTAATGCTGTTGATCAGTGCTGTGCTGCCGTCCAAAGAACAGCAGACCCCGCCTTCACTTTTTAAAAAACACCTTCCTTGAATAGTAGGCAACACCCCAATGACACTAGAAGTAGGCTAAAGAAAAAAACTTTTGTTTTTTGTTGAGAAATTGTAAAACTGTTGTATAACCTAAAATGAACCATAAAAAAACACATACTGTAGCCTACAATAGCCAATTTATTTTTTACTTAGGCTGTAATGCTAATAATATTGTTGTTGTTGTTGTATTTATTTTAGTTATAAACTCCAAAAATGTAATATTTTGATGCGTTTGCGGCAACTATGCAACTCAGATTTTCCCCTATAAAAAATATATAATAATAATAATATTCATTACTTTGACACCACACGAAAAAAACATATTTTGGAACCTTAGCTTGATAAGAAAAGTAAAATCTTTTTTTCTTTTGTACACAAATTGTTATGCTGACTGTATTCAAATGTCAGTTTTGTTTGACGGTTTGACAAACAACTCTAGATATTGAAGCCACCAAAAACTTTGATTTATGTGATATATGATGGGTGCCTTTCCATAGACATAATGACTTTTATACTGCATAAACTGTATATTATATCCCCCTTTACATTTTATCCCCCTTTTTTACATTTTCAAAAATCTATTGCGTATGATTTAAATGCTGTTTTCCTCATAGGGGTTAAACAAACAAAAAAGTCCCCACAAGGCCAAAAATTACTGGTATTACTATCTTTGTGGGGACATTTGGTCCCCATAACATTACCAGGACCACCACAGACACACACACACACGCAATAAGACAAGGAGTTTGGAAGATGGATGGATGGATTTATTTATTTTGTACACAAGTCATGAAATGTGCTATAACTTATTCTTTCACATAACCGAGCAACTATACAAGTGAAGTTGTTTGGGTACTCTCTCTTGGATACTGTTTTACTATTCTGATTATCCTGAAAGAGATTTTAAGGGCCCTTTTACTGTCATTCACTGACCTCTCCACACTGAACAAAGCACTCATGCTCTCACACAATTTAAACACCCTGGAACATGCTTTATAGCTTTGGAAAGAGATCTGCAAAATTAACAGACTTTAAATGGTTTATTTTAGCTTTTACAACACATTGCTAAACCCTTTTAGAGTACTGTGTGTGTATAGCTTATAATATCAAAAGGTTTGCAACAACTTGTCAATTCTACAACTATCTAATGCCTCAGACCTTTGTTGAGTAGTTGTGGATTAAATTATTTCTTTTGTCCTTGTTGATGCAAAAACCTTATTAATACTGACAGTTCACACACTGCCGTCACATTGTAAAAAATTAAAAATATAGCCAATGATTTATTTTCACATATGAAAATGGTCCAAATCAGAATTTACAATGTCAGATTAAATGTGTTTGGGTTGCTTACTCTGATTGACCAAAATCTGTCAAATATCAAAAGAACAGCAATAACAGATTTCGGTCATTCAGCTGTGTTAATGTCAGCTGCATGGACATAGGCCTACTCTTAAAGTCGGCATGAAATGGAAGTTGTGATTATCTTTTCTTCCCTATTGTGACGTATATCCAAGTGAAACAGCTTCTCAAACAAGAAAAATGTAGGGCGGGACTTGATTTTGTCCATGGGGAATTGTTTGGGTTCTTGGATGGTTGTGGTTTGCTCCCGTCCTCGTGCCAGTTAACATCATCAGAGAAGAGAAGATGGAAGTTACTTTGGTGAAAGATTACGTGGCCAAATGGAAAACAATGATAAATTACTTTTTAACCCCCATTGCAAATCAGGTTTATTGGCAAAATTGAGACTTTCAGCTATTTGCAATGAAAAAATCGAACAAAAGTCAAGTCAAACCACATTTATTTATAGCGCTTTTTACAATACAGATTGTTTTAAAGCAGCTTTACAGAGATAACAGGAAAATAATGCAAAAAAAGTTCTCCTCTGGCCAATGAACGTACAGTGTATGATTATGATTCAGGCAGCATTATAGTCAGAAGTCAGATTGGTTTGGAACAATCAGAATATTATCAAGTTCCATCTGGTTTAAAGGGGTCATATATTGCTATTTTTGTACAAGTTAAAATGAATGTTTAGGGTCTAAATGAAAACTTTGTAATATACTTTTATTAAAAATTCTCATTAAGACAAGACGGTAACACTTTATTTTAAGGTGCTTGTAATAAGCAGTAATTAACAGTTAATAAGACACTTATAAGATGCATATAAGATGCATATAAGCATTAACTACTTCATATAAGGGTCAATTAAAGGTCCCAGGCCCTGAAGAGATCAGGGAAACTACTCCCTCTTGGGAAGGTACATTTTTAAGTGACTGGGAGTTTGTGTTACCATTTATGTTTGTTCGGCTGTTCTAAAAGTGCAATGTATTGATCCTTGAGAAACTTATTATTTAATTTATTTATTATCATTAGTTAATGCTTATATGCATCTTATATGCATCTTATAAGGTCTTATAAGTGTCTTATTAACTGTTAATTACTGCTTTTTACAAGCACCTTAAAATAAAGTGTTACCGAAAACACTAATTTTCCCTGGTCAAAAACAGCTCTTTTCAGCACGCTGTTTCAGTGCATATGCCTTTAAAGGGATACTCCACTTTTTTTGGAAATAGGCTCATTTTACAACTTCCCCAGAGTTAAACTGTTGAGTTTTACCATTTTTGAATCCATTCAGCCGATCTCCGGTTCTGGCGATACCACTTTTAGCATAGCTTAGCATACATCATTGAAGTGGACAAGACCATTAGCATTTCTAAAAAATAAATGATCAAAGTGTTTCGATATTTTTCCTATTTAAAACTCGACTCTTCTGTAGTTACATCGTGCACTAAGACCGACGGAAAATGTAAAGTTGCGATTTTCTAGGCTGATATGGCTAGGAACTATACTCTCATTCCTGCGTAATCAAGAAACTTTACTGCCGTACCATGAGTGCAGCAGGCGTAATGATATGACGCAGCGCCTGAAAATAGTCCCCAGCTCGGTAACCTCCAACGTGACCGGGACTAAGTGCCTGCGCCTGCTGTGCTCATGGTACAGCAGTAAAGTTTCTTGATTATTACGCAGGAATGAGAGTATCCTTTATTTAAAATAAAAAAAACTGCGTCTTCAGCGGTTCAGATTTAGGAACATCAAAATGACTGCTGTGTTCGTTATTACACCCAAGAACAGAACACCACAATCGCTTAGACGCCATTCTGCTCCAGGTATCAACAATGAGGACTATGATGACAGCTCGCTCAGGGCGGGTCTGTGTTGAAACGCTGCTGTCAATCAACAATCGTGGGAGGGGCGTCCGACCGTGTGACGTCACACGGTCGAACTGCTCGATTTGAGGCAGGGAAAAACATAAGGAGATTAAAACAAAAACACTGGATAGATTTGTATCAATATATGATGGTTGTGTTACAGGCACTGCCAACACACATTTAAGTACAATCAACTTGTAAAAGTGCATGTACCATTATATGACAACTTTAAGATCAGAGTCATCCCACCGGGATGGAGACGGGTTTGATCAGTGTCGCTGTCGTGTCGATGAGGCATTCGATGAGAGTCTAGTTGACACAATCTCTGCTAACACTTCAGGGATGCGTTGTGGTTGTGTCTAGGTGCTGGTTCTCCATCTGGTCTGGATACGGCCCGGATCCGGCTGACTACATCATGCGTTGTGGTTGTGTCTAGGCGCAGGTCTATACATGTACTTTGCAACTACATTTCAACTAACTGTCATTAAAGTGTTAGTAGACTGTATGCTTAATATCTGCTAAAACTTTATTTTGATGGTCCCCCAACAGATATTCTACTGACTATAAGAGCCTGCTATACTAATTGAAATAGCTCAACACAACACATGTTTCAAGTGGTTTCCCCAAATTCAACTGAAATGGAACTTTTAAAGACTTCTGCAATCTCAAAATTTTTCACCCCCCTGAATAGAATCCTTCACAACAGCACAAATCTGGAAAAGAGGTGTTGTCTCAAGCACACCTGATGCAACTTATCATGGGCTTCATTAGTTGCACCAGGTGTGCTTGAGCTAGAACACATTAAATATCTGAACTGGCTAGGTTTGTTGAGTGTCACATTGGACTGAATGTTAGAAATATGGCTAAGTCAAAAGAAGGTCCAGAAAATTAAAAGATATCATCGCCCTTCACAAACAATTGGAACAGGGTACAAAAAGATAGTGAAGGCACTAAATGTTCCTAGAGACACCATTGGAAACATAGTTTGCAAGTTCAGAGTTAAAGGAACAGTGGTTACACTACCTGGGCGGGGCAGAAAAGGAAGCTATCAATGGCTGCAACCAGATTTCTGAGAAGGCAGGTTCAGAAAAACCCTCGAGTGACTACAAAAGACCTGCAGCCAGACTTGGTGGCAACAGGCACTGAGGTTTCAGGTTGCACAGTAAGGCGCGTACTAAAAACACACGTTCCAGAACTCCAAGACTACAACACTACTGACCCCAAAAGCATAAGAAAAGTGTTCAAAATCATAAAAATAAGTCACAGAAGTTTTGGGATTCTGTTCTGTGGAGCGATGAAACAAAACTGGAAATTTTTAGCCCTATGGATCAGCGGTATATCTGGAGGAAGAAGAATGAAGCATATGCTGAAGAGAAACCTTTGTCTACAGTTAAGTATGGTGGGGCTCGGTGATGCTCTGGGGCTGCTTTGCATCCTCTGGCACTGGAAACCTGCTGCGTGTGGAAGGCAAGATAGATTAATTGAAGTATCAGGAAATTCTAGGAGAAAACATCATGCCATCAGTGAGGAAGCTGAAGCTTGGGTGTCATTGGACCTTCCAACAGGACAATGATCCCAAGCATACCTCAAATTCCACCAAGGCCTGGTTGCAGAAGAAG